GTGCAAGGTTGGCTTACCCATGCCTGCGGTATTGTATGCCATATGAGGGCAGTATGTTTTTTTCTCTCTATTTTATTATACATTATTTTTCACAAACCTCTGTTTTATTAATTCCTTAGGTTTTATAGATGCTTAAATTGCATATTCTATGTTGGATGTTACAGTCAAAACATATTAAAATCCTGTTTGATATAGTAATTTTTTTTTGTGATTGTTGTTTTGGGTTGGTGGGTAAAAAAAGATTAATAAATTTTGTGTGAAATTGAATGAAATGTTATGGTATAAGATGTCAAGATTGGCCGCTATCCAAGGGGACCAAAGTTTGGTTTATGTTTATTGTGGGACCTGAGCCAACTTTATTGTTAGTTCACACTCAGAGATGGTCTTGAGCCCACATAATAAATGTGATTGGGCTCTAAGCCTGTCTCAAGGTTTGAATCCAGAAACCAATCCCATAGTTCACAATCGTGCGGGATGGTCCTGAATTTTGGATGAAACACGCATTTTGCAGAAACACATGCATCATAAATTTGTCACACATTTAGCACAAGTCTATGCGTGATTACAAATTCAGGGGAAAATGTATTTAAAATTAGAAGAAATTGGTTTTATTAAAAATATGAAAACTGTCATGGAGTAGCTAGAGTCAAAAGAGAACTGTCGTTATCTCATTCAAGAATCGATTCATCGGGGAAAATTTCTCTTTCCTGACCAAAACAACCCAGCCAACCACATACTGTACTTAGTAGAATCTAGTCGCATGCAGTCTTGCATGCGACAACCAACCGTTGATGTGACTGGAACCGGCCCACACTAGGGTTCTGCCCCCGGAAATCCGGGGCCCTGGCACGCTCCCCCTCCCAACTTAACTAGTGTAGTCACGCATTTCAAATCTCTCAGGTTGGTAACAACCCTACCATCAAGACACATGCTAATTAAGGTTTTTTTGATTGAGGTCCAAGTTCTGCATATTCTGGATCGCTTAGAATTTGTTCCATATTTTCCATGTTTATTTTTGTTTCATCTGCTGTCACATTTTGCATTTTGTAATCTGGTGATTCATCGCTACTTTGTAGCTCACCGGTATTTTCCTCTTTTCCGCTGTTGCACCGTCTGTTGCTAGTACTCTGCTGTTTCTTACAATTCAAGATTCCCATGATTTCATCCTCTAAGTTCATACCTGAGGAATATCGTTCTAATCTGCTTACCTCGACCTCTTCATCTTGTGGCGGTTTTACGCTAAAGTCGTTGTCTACACCACGAAAGCTCTTGTCTATGACACTATACGCTGGATCATCTTCCGCGTCATTTCCTACATTTTGATTCAGCGTCGTTCGTGATGATAATGCAGGCATGCTACTTAGACTAGGCAGCGGGGGCGGTATATCATCCGCGGTTCTGGATATAGGTTGCAAGTTGACTGATATGGAATCCAAAGTATGTAGGACTGGCATCATATCCCCATTCAACAAGTATTGGGGTAAGGTGGCATTTCTTGGCATTGTTCCGTGATAAGAAAGGGATGATGAAAAAAGTTGACTAGAGGAATAGTTGTGATTGTTATACATAAGCGCATATTGATTTGCAATGTTTCTTTGTTGTTCTTCAGTGTTCAACTTGTAAAAAAATTTACAGCATAAGAAAATTATCAAAATTGCAATTAAAAATGACAGTATGCTACCAAAGATTATTAAAATTGTTGGTTCCATCATTGAAGTCATTAGTTGAACAATCTTGTGCCAAGCTCAGCTTGCTTACTTTATCTGCTATGTAGTATAAATATGCACCTCTTCATTCTGTGTATAAAAGACAATGATTTGAATGTCAAAGGCCTGTACTATTATATCATAGGATATTTTTCTACTAATGGTTACTAGAAACGTTCTTTCAAAGAAGGATCTCATGTAGCAGTAGAAACGGGCCCATCAAAAACAATTCTGTGTCCAGCAGGCAAAAAAGATTTCTCCTAGCGCATAGTCCTTATCTAGATTCCAACTGACAACTGCAGGCCATATTTGGCCCGCAATTAAGTTAACAGGCCATTAAGACTGTGGTATATTATCTAAGAGTCTTGAAATAGGTAGGGGGATGCTGATGGGGCATGAAGGTGAACTGGGGGAGGGGGAACTCGATGAATAATTGAGGGGATCCTACTGTTGCTAGCAAAATAAGGCAAATTTTATCTTCAAAGCATGATTTTTTGCTTCAAACACTTTCAATGGGATGGGGGAAGCACAAGTTTTATTGTGGGGAAAGGGCATGCAAACCTCGCACCTTCCCCTAAATATGCCACTACCATTAGAACAAGCTTGAAATAATCACTGTATGCAAATAAAAGCACTGGCTTATTATAGCATCATTTCACTCTACTCTACACCAATTTTTTTTTTCATTTGTAGTGTAGTTGCTAAACCCCACTCCAGACCTAGCTTGCTTTACAATGATCGTTGGGCCTTCAGATTGATTTTAATCTAGAACCTGGCCCATGTCTAAATACAGTTTTAGTTGGATAACACACCTATAGCACAAGAACGGTGAAATATATATGGTATACAGTATTTATAGAAGTACAGTATAAGAAAAAAATGTTTAAAACTAAACAGTCCAAATATAAAGCATAAATAATGTAAAGCTAATGAATATTCAATACCTTATAAATATAAATTAAAGAAGATGTATCTTGGGCATCTCTCCGTTGATGTCTTCATAGTTTTGGTCGTTTGATAGCCCTGTTGCTCAGTCAGATTTGTTATTACTGCAATTCTTTTAGCCAAGCTTACATTTTTGGTTTCTATTCTTGTCGAAGTTGCATGTTGTAGATTGTAGGTCTGACTAATATTGATCTACAAAAGAAACTATTAATAATTCCTGTAGTTTCAAATTGTTTTTCAGGAATATTAAAATTATTTTTTATTTCTTTTCCTTATCTTAAATAATACAATTCAATTTATTGAGGCTCAAAAATAATTTGTTAACTTTTATTGTACAGATTGAATTAAAAGATATTAATAATTATATTATTTTTTATATTCAATTTACAGTTGTTTACCAGATACAATTGTCAGTTCTTCATCATATCTCCCGTTTTTGTCCTTCTATCGGAAATTTCTGGCTGATGCTCTGTTACGTGATAGAATCAACATGCAAAACACAGGTACTGTATTATCATATATAATAACGTTTCAGAATGTACATTTATAATAACATTTCAGAATGTGTAGAAACAATTGAATTACTTGCACAGTGCAATAATTATTATTTATTGTTACATTTAAAATGTTTTCTCAAATGTTATGCTGTATACAGTATATTTAAATCATTTGTGAAGACTCCAAAGTGATCAGGGGTAGATTTAGGGGGCCAGGCCGGCCCTGGTCCCCCACTTCTGGAAAGTTAAAAAAAAAGGAATTGATCACCTGAAATGCCTCAGAGGTTATTTCCGGCCATTTAGAAAACAACTACTAGGGTGTCAAATACCCTTTTTGTGTCTTAGAAAAAATAGTTTTTCGCAGGTGCCTGGCTAGAATAAGGATTTGGAGGACACAGATATAAATCGATTATCAAATAACAATTATCATGAAATAAAATTTTTTTCCCCAAACTTGATAATTTAGTGTTTTTGGTAAAAAAGTCCTCCTTTAAGCCATGAATTGTCCTCCAGGTTCCGAAGTTTTTGGTATGTTGTACAACTTATTTTTCGAAAACACAAAAGTTGAGTTGAATAGCATAGGTGGTTGAGATGCTTGCATTTTAATCACAGGGTTCTGGGTTCAATTCCTGTCACAGCAGAACTTTTTCCTATGAATAAGAACAACTCGACTCCCAAGGTCTCAATAAGAGACACAGTGTATAAAGCTACGGTCGGCAACCTTTTACCCCCTAGGACCCAAAATAATTTGCCATTAGCATCCCACGACCTAAGGCCTAAAGTTACACCATCCCTTAGAAATGTCATCTCAAAAACGAAAATATAGTCGATATAATATATCACTATACTGAGTAGTGTCTCGTAACAACATACCAAAACGGCTGAGATGTTCAATTACTAAACTAAAACGACGACAACTACTCAGGCTACACCACCGTGCACAGGGAAATTTTATCAAGTCATATATCAGGTTAAAAGTCCAACAGTCAGTTAAATGTAGAGAAAATAGCCACAACATTTTATCAAATTGTTTTATAACAAGTTTTGGTTCGACATTCTCTCATGAATTCTCTGATTTATTCATGTTAATTTCAACCCATGCAGGGGCGGATCCAGAAATGTCCAAAAAGGGGGGGCCGAAAGTTGGGCTGATTGAGACAACACTGTCGTAGGGGGTCTGGGGCATGCCCCCGCGAAATTTTTGTGTTCTAGACGCCCGAACATTTGAGGCATTCTGGGCTATCATTTTTTTTCTTTTTCTCTCTTTTTTTACTTTTTTTCCCTTTTTTTTTACCTCCCAAAAGGGGGGGCCGGGGCCGGGCCCCCCCCCCTAAATCCGCCCCTGCCATGGGTTGCCGACCATAGATATAAAGTATCATCCCATCCTGTACAACTATGTTTTTTGTTACTTTCAATTTATTTTGTTATTAATTTGGACCAACTATGCAGAGATACGGGATGCCTCCCCGAAGATCTGCCGACCCTGATCAAGAGGTACTTTTTATACCGCCTTGCCCTGATGCAGTATAGTAATAGATGGCTTGATAAGCAGAGGATTTTGATGATTACTTTTTTATTTTTATTGTAGTCATTATAACTCTTTTGTCAATATTTTTCTTTTAAATATCAGATCAGATCCACAGTCCTGTTTTAACAGCGTTTCCATTGGCAACACAGTATTCTGACATCATGGATGCTCTCAGGGTAGGAATTAAATGTGAAATGAACTGCTTTATCTGTTTCAAACTTTTATTGCATAACCTTTTTATATATTAATTTTGATGATATATTCTAACTTTTTTTCTTTATTTAAATTGTTTTAGCTTGTATTAGCACCTGTAATTGACAAGCATATTTTCTAAATTTTACCAAATAAAAATTATTATATTTAATTGAAATGTGATTGTTGACTGCGTATTGGAGAATGTGATTTTAATGTTACACACTTAACGTTTGTCTTTCAGAGTGCTTGGGCAGAGAAAAAGAGGTCCTTAAAGAAAGTAGACAAGGTAATTCCGAAGTTTAGGAGTGCAGTTGTACTTTCCCAGTAGGGGCCTAGTCATTATTCTCCCTTTAAAAAATAAAACCACAGAACCATTCTATAATGGATCTCAGTGTAATATTCAAAGAATAACTTAAGCTCTGTCCAGACTATCAAATGAGCCTGGTTCTCACGAGAGCCCTAGTATCCGGATCGGGCGCTAACCGTTAGCGTAAACCGTTAGCACCTGTGTGAGAACGCCCGATCGGTTAGCGCTAACCGTTTGCAGTATCTGGATTTCCGCTGACGGTTAGCAAGTTGAGCGCGTTTTTATCATCAACCAATCACAAGTACGTGTTTACAATTTCCAGTTTCTTATTGGCCAGTGATTCGATCATCATATTTTTGGTATCCGGATCGGAATTTTCTCGTATGGACGCATGGCGGCTAACGGTTAGCAGGATCCGGATCCTGCTAACCGTTAGCAGCCGTGTGAGAACATAGCCATTGTCTTTGACAAAAAACTGATGTATGCTCATATATGGTCATGTCTCATAAATTATCACTTTGAAAGTCACACTTGGAATAGTACAGGCTCTGTGTCAGCATGAACAAAATGCATATGATACATCTGGATTATATTCTTTATGTAAATTGGCCATGTAGTGTCTGCAGGAAAGTGGTTGGATGCAACTCAATCCTCTGTCAGTCTTGCAAGCAATGGACTCATAAACGATGTTTTGGTATACACCATTGCCTCAAACCTGATGATTTGTTTCAATGCAAAATCTGTTCTGGAGAAGTACAATGGAAAATTAATGATGTCAACAATAGTATTCTGATTGGCAATGAAACAGTTGAAATGGTGAAATCCTTTTGTTGCCTCGGTGATGTCATTGGTCAGTCTGGTGGTTGTGTGTATGCACCAAGCATATGAATCTACATGGAAGGGGCTCTACTGTTTGCTCCCAATCCTTACAAACAAGGCCATAAGCACTTCTACCAGGGCGGCGCATGTACAATGCATGCTGCAGTAGTATTCTTACTTACACCAGCAAAACTTGGACATTAAAACAAGATGACTTTAATGCCTATGTCAAGCCAATCATGCAATGATTTGCTGGATTTGTGCAAACCGAATCTGACAGAACTCCAATAAAAACACTTTTCATCCAGTTAAATATTCAATCTATTGCAGATGCGCTGTGCCACAGTCACCTTCGCTGGTTTTTTTGTGGCAGAGGGTGCGCTAATTGGCCAAAAATAACATTTTATTTTTATTCCAAATCACCATTTTTGGCAGTCTCGCTAAACAAGATATAAACAAGGTCTCGCCTTATATACTTATATATTTCTGTTCATCCCTGAGTATAAATGAGTAAATTGTAAATGACACATATATGATTGGCTTAATTAACCTTCTCTCCAAGCTCCAATTTACATCACTGTAATTAATAGTATGAAATATAATAATTTTATTATGCTCAATGCATGCCATACCAAACATCCCATACTCTATTTCTATATTTTTACGCTCTAAAATTATATTACTTGTTGGTGGCGCTGTTCAGAAGGAGGAAAATGCTGAATGCTCTGGGACTTGTGGCAAGTCTACTGAGACATTCAGTGGTGGATTCAATGCCCCCCCCCCCTCCTCAAATCTGATGTGGTCTACACCTTCTTTTTTGCGAAAGTCCGTCCATAGGCCCAGCTCCTTTGTTTTGAATTCCTAAATCCACCACTGATATTTGAATTGATCTGTTTTCATTGTTTGTAATTTAGTTTTTAGTTACTTTTTGAATTTCATAATTGTAAATATATTTTCTGTATATTTTTTTTTTTTATATTTACTGTATGTACCTGGGCTTCTTTGGAAAGCAGTTTCACTGAACGGATACCCTGGTTAAATAAAACTTAAATAAATGAGTTAGCTACACAACTAGAAATACTCTTTTAGGATTGGAGGAAATTGTGACATATTTAAAAACCAGGTGTAATAATTACTCAATAATAATAAACTTAAAATAGGTTGATAAATTGCTCACTATAAGTGCTTGGTTATTATTAAAGGAATAAGGTAACTGGCTAAGAAGTTCTCCATAATTTTCACCTTTTCATAAGAGTACAAAACATACTCTTTTCTGTGACCTCCTTCCTCCCCCTAAAAGAGTACGGCAATAAAATGTTGATTTGTGTCATTTTGAGATAGTCATTTTATTTTTTCATAAGAGTACATATGTCTACACTTTCAACCCCCTCCCCCTCCCTCTTGCACTTTTTTTTAAATGTTGAAAATTATGGATTGCCCCTAAAATTCTATTGTTTTGTATCATTTCACAGAGGGATAATGAGCATATGAAAGGCCTTATGAGCAGTGTGTTTATGGACTCTGTGTACCCCTTACTGCATTCAACTTCTTTACCGGCATATAAGTGGGCTGATATTGAAACAGAAAATGTGAGTATCAAGTTTTTGTATTTTTTTAAGTTAACATCATGCCACTTCTTTGGCATGATGACGCAAGCCACTGATTGTCAGTAGTATTCTGAAGGGATCGCAATTATAGACGTTCCATTGCACGCACATCGTGGTGTTGCATTCTCCATAGAATCGCGTGGGCCTATGACTGTCATGGCATGCCCGGCTTTGTGAGGCTGAGTAGTTTTTTGAGAGAGCTTTTTTGCATGAAGATGAACGTATTGACGTCACTAAGAAGTCATCTGTGCATGCAATTGGATTGGGTTGGATTTCCCAAGGATAACCCACAAATGCCCTTAGACTTGTTTCCAGAGGGGTCCTTCTGGTGGAGAATTTGGCAGTACACCAGGAGACAATCCTCTACTATTTTCTGAAGAGTGTACTGTGCTCTTTAACTTGCACATCGGCTATTGTTGCACATAGGAACAACGGCTTAAACATCTCATTCGAAAGACGGTGCGCTTTTTTAAACTGGTTCAGCGCACACACACAGTGGCTACCACCAGTTTAGTTGATGATTGAATCCATTCATGGCTACATCGTCGTGCAAATCCAAATCTCCCTAATACATTTCTCCGGTAATCATTTGGGAAGCATAGCATCACTTATGGAGGTACTCCCATTGACTTTGGGGCCATCGACAGGGGCCACCAAGGGCCCACTAGAAGCTCTAGCATTGCTTTTTTAAATGGCATGTCTGATCAATTTCTATTTCATAATTGCTCCTTGTTGAAACATCAGCCTTTAAAGAATTGTAATTTATTATTCCAATATATAATAAATATCATGTTAATGTTTTAAAATTACTAAAATATAGCAATTAAGACGACTGCTTTAAATTAAAATCAATACCCATTTCTAATTGGCCTACTCCATTTTAAGGGACATTGCTTAAGTAAAGTTTTTTTTTATTGTGAACAAAATGTGTGGGATTTAAACCCAGAATCTTGGTTTGGTAGGTAGGCACCTTTGCCACCATGCCACTGCTCCTCTTCCGTCCCTTTGTAGTTACCATATACTGTTGCTTAAGTTAAAGGAAAAGATCTTGTGTTTAAATTATCAATGAGCTTTAAATTGACTGGCAATATAATGCAAGGTAATCTACATTACTTGTGACTTGTTTTCTGTTTCTCTTTTGCAGGCAAGGTGGGAAGCTATTGCCAACTTCATGAAGACCAACAGAGAAAGCAGCGTTTTAGCCGGTCATTTACTGTCACCAGACACTATGCATAAGCCTTTTGATATGTCAGAACTAACATATGACCTCTGCTCTTTGTACACACAAAATAGGTGATCTTGTAACCTTTTTGATAGGAGAAACTGCATTTTTAGAAAAACTAGTTGCTATAATGGATAAATGGGACACCTACTTTCAGGCTAAGCTGCACACCCTGAATGACTCAACTTGACACCAATGGCGTATCTAGGGTGGGTGCGCGGAGGCCCTCCAAAAATGACTCGCTCCCCCAGTCGACACCGCCCTCCCTCCAAAATAACTTGTAAATAGTTAAAAATCACCTAAAATCACCTTATTTTGCTAGTTAGCTCCCCTCAACTGATCACCTTTTCAACCCCCATTCAGCACCCCCATTTCAAGACTTTTAGATACGCCACTGCTTGATACCCTTGCACGCTGAACAACCAATTTACCCAGAGGCTCATTTGAACACCCAGGACATTCTACCCAATCCATAGAGAAAACATTTTCTTGAGTGGAGCTTTCACTACTTAGCTTTTCTTTTTAGATTTATTCCCTACAACAGTGTTCCGCAAACTGTGGTTCTTGACCCATCATTAGGTCACTAAAATATTTTGGTTGGTCGCAAAGCTTGACTGAAATCACCAATCAGCTAGCTCAATGCTGTCTCTTACTTACTATTATAAGCATTATGATAATTTGAAACACTTATTTTTTTAAAATAACAATGAACCCATCAATGAGCACACTGTACATTGTTATTCATTTGTGGTGATACAACAATGTGGCTACAATCATCATTGTACAGTATGATTTTGTCGTGGTACTTATTTTTTGCTCAGGCATTGTTTACTTATTTTACTCTTTTTAAAATCTCAGTCCCAAAATGATGCACTAGAGTTAACTTTCTGAATTAGGCATGTGTAGGTAAGGGGTTGCAATATATATTTCCGAATTGGCAGATCAGTCTAAAGGTTTGTGGAACCCTGCCCTAGACCATAATGTCAATGAGTGGATCCTTATAATATATTTGTGGTGTCATTCCATATAAAGTCCATTGTGTGGAGCTTTGCCAGTACATAAGAGGAAAATTATTTCAGTGAGATTTGTTTCAATACTCTTAAGCCTCTTCAATAAATTTGGACAAGAGCTATTTTCAAACCTGCTCCTGATGCAAGACTGCACCTAGTGAAGCCAGCGTAGACTGCTGGCAAAAGCTTGTGTAATAAATAAGTACATGTGGCCCACTCCGGGAAAACCACGCACTTGTCCTGAAGAACAAGAATCCTAAAATCAGCTAAAATTCCCATGTATTGACCATCTTAATGCATGTTGGACTGAAAAACATATTATGGAAAAAATGAAATGTAATATGTATGTATGTTTTTTTTTTTCCTTAATTTGTGGAATAAAGAAGAAATTGAATTGAAAATAGGAATTATCACATCTACACCATTTAGTATCCGTTTTAAACAATTTTAGCATGAATTATTAGTTTTTGACTGCTAGATTTTGGGTCATTCACAATTATGAACATTTTAACAAGTGTACAAACAGTACTGTACTCATTTTCGGTACCCCTTCCATCCCCTCTGAAAGTGTACAAAGAAAATGTTGATTTTGCAATTTCTATTCTCCATTTTTTTTTGTGAAGTCAACTAAAGCAATGTACTTGGTTGTTTAAAAATAAATATTATATCCATGGTTATATTATAATTTTACCATTATTTTACATATTGCATGTTATTTTGAATCAACATTTTTATGCATACTTACCGTACGTAAAAGTGTACAAATTTGTCTACCCTCTCCACCCTAGCCTACTGTTTGTACACTTGTTAAAATGTTGAACAACCGCTTAATGATAAGAATAATTTGTTGAGAATAGAGCTTGTTTTTGCTAGAGTGGGTCACATGGTAATGCAATGGTCTTTCATTTAAATAGCGTATAATATGGCCAATGTGTCTATGCGCTCTTTTGCCCAGTGTCAAAAACAAAACAAAAAAAGAAAACAACAGATAAACAAGAAAGATTAGAATTTTGAATTGTAAAGTCAGTCAATACAATGCTATCTGTGTTTTTATTTTATTGTCAAACTTTAGAACTTTCAGAAAATGTGAGGGTTTTTGTAGTAAAGTCTATAACATCAGAGCTATTCACTATTGTAATTAAATGTTTATGGTTTATTTTCAGGTTCTACCCCACTACATCTTACTATTACATACTATTACGTATCTTAGTAGAGTGGATTGGTTCTTGTTTATTACTTGCTTAGTGTATGTTTTTGTCTACCAGTAGAAAAATTAGTAAAAGGGGTGTTTTATTTTTAGGAATCATTATTATTATTGTTGCAAGATTTATGGCTGTATTATCTGTGTTTGCATATACAGTAGAAATTTACAATAAATGGCAATATTGAATCCTTTTATTTTTTTTCTATTTTTTTTATTTCATATGTACCAGTAGAAGAGCTATGTGTTCCCCGCTTTTGGATCGCGCGCGGGCGTATTACCCTATAATTCACATTTTTTCGTTAGCAACAACTTGGCAACGACATGCATTTATACACTTCCAGCAGAGCAGTTGTGCAATAAAGCGTTTGATTTTAACTTATTAAATATCTTTATAATGAACAATGTTCCCCTGATTAGATTTTTTCGGGCTTTTGGTATGTTATTATTTGTATATTTCTGGAACGGATTCCGTAAAATATTTATGTTAAAATTACTTCTGTGTTCATTATAATTTTGTTTAAAGATTGACTGGTTCGACTATAAAGCTAATTCAGCGTAAAACCGAAAAATACTCAGATTTTTAATTCATTTTTCGAATAGTTAACCCTCGTTAACCCTAAAATGACTTAGTTTATTATAATCCTTAATCATTTATTAATTAATATCTGTTAAAATTAGAATGGGCGAA